ACCTGCAAATTTGCTCTGCATCGAAATACCAATTTTCTCTCGATACCCCAAATTCCGACCTGAAACACTCCGTGGGAATCATATGGGCCTTAGTGTAAATCTGTTCTTAACCTCTTTTTCTCTAGAGTGGATGCCTCCAACTCCACAAAAGTTCTCGTAACCTGCAACTTGTGTGGAAATTTCTGAACGGTAATGCGCATCTTTATGCTCCTTATTCTCGATGGCTGCTCCACCTGCCAAGAGACAGATTCCAATCACCCCCCACCATGCGAAGAGACGGGCGGCCAGATTCAGCCGGCATTTAAAAAAAAAGAAGGATTCCTTCTATGGAAAATCAAAGGCTTTTCGCGTTGAAAATGAGGTTTTTTGAAGACAGAGTGGCAGGCAGATGCTGCGGATGCTGCCTGAGAATTCCAAGAAATGCATATTGACCTGAATAATTTATATTGCTTTGGAACTGCATATAAATATGCAAGAGTATGCAAGGTTAAAGAGGCGAGTGCCATTTAATTATTCTCATGGCTCTCTGCCTTTCTCAAAATACGGCTTAGGTCTGCTGCAACGTAATAGAATTTCTTCACATTTGAACTTTCTCTCTCACACTCTCACCTTACACTCTCAACCTCTCTCCAATTATTGACATATCTCATGATTAAATTCATCTCCTTGGTAGAATTATTGAATCGTTATCGTCCTGACGTTGTCTCGATGCTTGTCTTGTTTCTGTAACATTTCCCGAATTCGTGTCGACATCATAATTATGTTGTTTCTCGTCCCACCCGTTATCTCTACCGTTCGCGTCATCTCGCGTCCACGCTCCGGGGTCACTCGCTCGATCGATCCAACGAGTTCGCGGCACTCGCCGGGCATTCTCACCCTCCATCCCCCACTCCTCCCGGACGCCGCAGTCCGCAATCTGGCGGCGAAAGGGAAAGTCTCCCCCTCCCTTCACTCTAGAGGAAGACAAATGACATCTAATAACTCCTTTGAGGATTGAAAGTATAGCACGGCTGGAACGGATGGATCGTACAAGAGGTATGTCTCGACCCTAGGAGGTCCGCCGAACCGCTCCAGCATCTAGGACATCAAAGAGTAGGAGGGGACCAGTATTACCAGTATTCCCTACCGAATTTCTGGGGATCAGAAATTGCCAGTTAAAAGTGTGCATGTTTAGCTCCTCTTCGATCGGTGGGACTTCGAAAGGATCTTCGTCGTCTCTGTTCTCATCTCGTTGTGTACTATCAACTTCTTTTCTTTCCTCGTTTGCACAACGCAAAAGCTGCTACCAAAACTTGGCCTGTTCTTCCCGTCCCCCGTTTATTTAAAAAAATAGCTCAACGACACCCTTGGGTTTTGTCATCGGCCTTCAAAAACGCTGACGCATTTCCGTGCTGGGAGGCCTTTGAGCCGCACGCAAGTACGCTTCGAGAGTAAATTCTATTTTTGGAACTGGCTTACGCCTACTCCCGCTGGCTTCCCCATTCTCGTGACTCGAACGGCGGCCATCAAGTAATGAATCCATCGATAAAATGCGAAGCCGAGTCTTTCCCTCTTTCTTCCTTGAAGTGTCCAGACAGACGCGTATCTGAAGCTTGTAGCCGCCAGACTCTCTTAGGCGATAATCCCCTGGCAACGAAACGGATCTTGATTTCAGAAACATGATAAGGACTGTGGCAACTTGCCGGGATCTCTCTTCATATCTATCCAAGACTCTCAATCCCATCCCACATGCCATGCTCTCGCGAAAGAATTCAAATTTTCTCTTCCCTGAAGCTGCCGCTTCTACGACGATTCGATCGATGGCAATCAGTTTGTCTACGTCCATGCACGAATCTCTAAGTTGAAGAAAGCTTGAGTTAGTCCAATTTTTTAAGAAGGGAATCCTCATTAACAGCTGTTCCCATTATGCCCATTTTAGGAAAATTTCTGAAACTTTCACTTACAGCAAGCTAATCTCTTATTTAAATTATTTAGGATTTCTCCTCTGTGAACATGGATTTCAGAAGCGTGACAGCACAGCAACTGCACTAGAGAGAGAGAATTCCTGGAAAATTGAAATGGAAGCTGGATGATGAGAATGTTGGACTCGGATCTTCTCAGATGTCAAGAATGTAAATACTTCGCGTTTTACTCAGCGAGCTATACGACCACGGAGCCTCCAAACGTATATTGGATTGATTTCGATCTTATCCGACATGAAGAACGCGATCTGTTCCGTGCAACAGCTGTGCTATTGTCCCGTTTTCTGTAAGTTGCGGTGTACCACAAATTTCAGCTTTGCAGGGACCATTGCCATTTTTTGTCTGTGAGCGATCTTCCAGGGCGAATCAGATACGGCCGTGTGCTACTGGTACCAGCATGCTCCATTTTCATCCCTGTTTTCCTAACACGAGGCTACAGGCGGAACGGGATCTCACGGAAATGATTTCGTGCTTTTTGTTCAATTCATTTACTCTTGACCTCAATTTATATCATCATTCCATGCATCGTTCCGGTCCAGATAGCGGCCCTAGCAAGATGCATGTACTTTGACATCTGGCGGAAAGCAATTGCAAGGGTGGAAAGAGAGGAATTATAGGGAGTGTGTACTTAGGGAAAATTAAATTCGAGCCATCACACAGAGCTTTTGTTCGAAAATGCTTCGTCAGACCCCGTATCCGTTTCATAAGCTTATGAGAATTTACTCGTCAGGGATGGTGCTTACGCTGTGGCATGCCACGGTCACGCATTTTTGCATCATGATATGTAGGTTGAGAGACTCATCTGATAGCAGTTAAATAAAATAATAAGCGTGATGGGTCATGCAATCGAAGATGAACACTCGCATCCGCTACAGAGAATCTCACTCTTTGAACAGCTCATTCAATAGAATCTCTCCTATTATTTTTTTAAGAACTTGGTTCCTAAAGCATCTTATGACAATTTTCTACTGCATATCGTGGTTCAACGCATCTTTCCCGGTCAGTCTCAGATGAACTATTGACAATCCCACTTGAAATGAAGCAGTATGATGCCCTGCCAAAAGAAATTCGTCCTACATTTATCGGCACAACATTTTTCATTAAAAACGGAATTTTTCACTCGACTCGGATACGCCGGCGTAGGACGATCCTCGCGTATGAGTGTATAAGTGCAAAAATGTTTGATTCGAGTGTAAAATTGGATTCCAAGGGCTGCCCTTGGGATTGGGAGATCTACTACCCTTGGATCTCTTCGGCCCACTTGACTCCAATTCGAGTACTCGTCGGGAAAATTGTGAATACGGGAGAGAACGTGAATATATGAATGGATATAAATAAATACATTTATACAATTTCATTTGCTCACACCTCATGATATGAATACGTATCGAGAAAACCTTCGACTGAGAGTACCTCCTGTGTCATCTCTACAACATCTACAGGCGGGAATACACGTGAATGATCGGAAATGAGAACTCTCGAACTCCTGAGAGGCCGATAGTGGCACGGGAGAATGACGTTCCTGTGAAGTCAAGACCATCGTGCCCAACATGGCTCCCATCTATTCAAGGGTGGTATCAATTTCTATTCTATAGGCCTAGCGTGTGTCTCGATGGGAAGTTTCTAAGGTACACCTAGGCCTAGCTTGTCGTATTCACTTGGGCCTGGGGCATTCGAGCAGCTACTTAGCTCTTAGCCCCGCGTACGCAGCTAGACTTCCTTGAAATTCTCTCTCCAGAACACCGGGAGGGAAGAGTTGGTCTACCTTTTGATTGGCTGCCGCCCTCCTTATTTTAGGGAGTAGTATCTATCGGCCGAGCTGAATCAGCCCCAACTTTAGGGCAAAGCTGGAAGGCATTCTTCATGACACCGTCTGGCTTAATGCCAATCTTGTAGCGAGAAGAGAGCTGGACCCTGGAATAGTGACCGAGCAATGATACGACAAAGTACCCGATGCAGGGTTCACGAACGTGGCGAGGAATGGAGAGAAGTGCCAACCTTGGCTGAGCCAAACCCCAAACAAGCATTCAACGCTCCTTTTGCTGCCGATGTTTCCCGATCCTGGCATCGACTATCCCCCTTTGTTCTCAAGCTTTCCCCCCCCCCCCCCCCTCCCCATATTTATAATTAGTTTCCTGTCCCAAATGGTAGACCTTTTAGGAATGTAGAAAATTGGTTTCAGTTCTCTGGGGCTTTGGCATTGGATACTTGGTAAAAGTCATCATGCACTAGAGGGAAATTCCACGCATTACTTATTTATTGCTGAAAGACATTTCAGCAATAAATAAGAGAAGTAAATGTCATAATAAGACCTGGACATGTTGGAAGGTCTGCAAATGACTTGTGGAACTCTAATCTCTAGTGAAAAGTGAGCATTCAGTATAATCTGTGAAATTCTTTGCAAACAAATGTCACACCTACCTTAGGCTCACTATTGTTCTTAGTTCTGCTTCATCTGAATGCTTCTTTCAGAAAATTTAAGTTGAGCTGGAAAAGTTAATCATTTAGAAGATGGTATAACATCAGCTAGTAGCTTATGCTTTCCTCCTTTTTTTTTTAAAGGCTTTTTGACATCAAGGGTTTGCAGTCCAAGTTTGGAAGAGAGGTTATTCTGGTGTAGAACCTTTTCTAGGAAGGATGTTACAAAATGAAAAAATTTTCAGAAGATACACATCAAATGAAGTATGGTATAAGTTTAATGTGTTATGCACTTAAACACTTTTGCAGGAATGTTCACATAACACATGTACAGAGCAAAGTTAAAAGAGTCAGATGAAGCCAGCAGTCTTGGGACTTGCATTTTCGTACAGATGCTTAGTTTTGATCCCTTCCTCCTTCCAGTTTCTGTGATCTCTTTTGACTTCTATCTTAGCATTCTACTACTCTCTACTAATTGTAGAGCTCTAGCATATCATGTAGTACCATCTCTGGCCTAATTTTAAGAATCAAAATCCTCAGGCTCTGAATTCCCAAAAATCAGCAATAACACTGAATTTTTGTAGCCCCAATGCATTCTCTCCTCTCTTATTTATTTATTTATTCAAGGCATCGAAGAAAACATCCATCCAAGTTTCAAAGACTCATACCTGCTCCTTGGCCATGGGTACACCTGTCAGTCTTTCAGGAGATTGCTCTGATGGAACATTCGTGAAATTCCAGTGGTAGCATTTAGCTTTCATTACATCTGAAATGAGTGGCCCTGACAGTATCCAGTATGAAGTTCCTCCAGAATTACAAGATCTGTTACTTGAATTCACGGTGTGTACACTGGTGGAACAACCTAGAGACTTGGTGGACTTTGCAGTTGTGTACTTTACCAAATTGAAGGAAGCAAGAGCTCAGGGAGGTATTGCTACAACTGTTTCGCCCAGGAGACCTGTTGGTGTCATATCCAGTGAAGATGATATAATATGTAAGTTTCAATTTCAATTATGATATGATGAAGTTGCTTTAGTCATTGAATTTTTGTAAGGTGGCTTTTATTTGGATGCCTCTGAATTTTTAAACCTAGGAAAGTGCTATGAGAAGCATGAAGTTCACTTTGACCTCTGTATTTACTGATTACAGACTGATACTTTTGTGGGATACACTCACAAAATACCCATTTCTTGTAGATTTCTTATAGGCTTAGCAGTATCTTTGTAGAATGCAGGTCTCAATTCTAGGGGATCCTGAGTAGGCCCATTTGGAATTTAATGTAGACCTTCTTGTACTTAAGAATAGAATAATTTCAGAGTTGGCTTTCTATATTGAAGTTTTACATTTTAAAATTAAAGTTTTAAATTGATCCTGATTTGCTTTTTCTTACTGGTATTTTCATTAGGTGTCATAATGCTATAAAGGTATGATAAGCTGTGAAGAGCCTCACCCTTTGCACTTTCAAAATGTTCAAAGTTGTTCATTAACTAGATTTCTTTTAGTTTAATTACTTTAGAAAGCTTCATAGCCATAAGTTGAAATGGTATTGGGCCTTCCATGATCAAGTACACCTGAAGTCAAAACTTCTAACAAAAAAAGTTGAATTGTTCAGGAAAGCTGGTTTCTCTAACTGCAACATACATGGTACCATGTATGTTGATCAAGTCTGGTGAAGAATGTGGGACCTGGCACAGAAGTCAGAATGTCAGCATTAAACAAGACAGTGGACCAATATATCCAATGTTTTGGCATGATATTAATGGGTAATAGAAGAAGAACCTGTTGCTATAATGGATCTACAGGAGAAATAAGTTTTCATAGACTTTGGAGCTGAAATCCTGACCATGGTGTTAGACAGCCTGTATGAACTAAACAGTGAATAAGAAAAGATGTAAACCTTTAATGAGAATAGTGAAATGGGGAGTAACCTTCAAGCACACTCCTCAGACATGGGTTGAGCCTGTCATTTTGTAGGGGAGGTAGCACAGTTGTAAACATGAGGTAGACCCACAGCAAATGGGACCAACATGGGCCATCTCCAAGCCCTCCCACTGGAACCGTACATATTGTGTGATCCATCCCAACTGCTGAGATAGAGGTAATAAAATTTAGCCAACAACTAGCATCTCTTTCCTGTGAAGGTAGACTGTATGTCTCTGAAGTTAATATAGAAGATAAATCTTGGGGAAAAAACTACATCAATGGTGAAGATGCAAGTCCATGTATCTCCAAATTGGTAGGTTTTGAAATTCTGGTACCATTAAAATGTGCAGTGGTGGTGGGATATGCTGCTAAAACAAATCAAAAGTGAATGTACCTCATTATTCAATTACCTTTTCTTATGATACCTACTGAGTTCTGAAAACATTATCAAAACCCATGAGTTTTGGTGATGTTTTTGTTCCTCCTCTAAAGTTGTGCATTTAGAGATACATGTATCAGCATCTTCACAATTAATGAGTCCTGTGCCTTCCATCATTCACATCTCCATGGAAGGACACTTGAAGTTGCAAGTGAGAGGATCTTGCTCATCTGAGAGGATTTTCTGTATCAGAATATTCAAGATATCTGATTGGAAAGAAAGTTCTCGGAATTTCTTGAATATCCAGTACAATTTTTTTCCAGAGCATGCTAGAATGTTCTGCGTGTGTTTATAAGNTGGAATGGCATCCATAGTTTGCATAAACGTTGGCGTGAAGTGATAGAGGCCAATGGTGATTACATTCATGATTGAGATGATTTTGCTTTTAAATAAACTGGGTTGTAATAATTGTTCATGAAATTCCGAGAACTTTCTTTCCAATCAGATATATAGTCAAACCATGTTTTCACTTTCTCCAAGAGCCTTGTCCACATCCTTGGTGCAGGGAGTGGTTGCACTCAGTGGTAAAATTGGCCTATCATGGTAAGCAATTATTTATTAGAATGCCTTTTTGTAGCACCACTGACAGGAAAAATGGAACAAAATCACAGACTGGGACTAGCATTCATGGTTCAAACCCAATATGCACGATTGTCCTGCTAGTCACTGTATCATCAAATGTATAACCCCTTAAAAATATGCTGGTCATTTAGGATTTCCAGGCTATGTGTTAGCATATATATATATATTTTTTTCCCCCTCAGTTGGTATCATGTACTGGTTAGGAGAAGTTCAAAAGATGACTGTCTGATTTAAAAAAATGAAGACTTTGGATTTTCCACAATATAAGGGAACACAATGGAAATGGTCATAATTCTTGGAAAAGGATGGAATGAAATTTGTTCGCACAGAATGGAGCAGAAACTGGAACATGAAGAAACCAGGAGAAATGGAACAGGAATGAATATATTTAGTTGTGAATCATTGGTTATATATATGACTCAATGGTGAAAATTCTCATCAGTAGCAGTACACCCTTAACTTGAAACAATGGTTGAAGAAGCCTGCTTCACAAAGCCAGAGTAGACAATTATTTCCTGTCAACTTTTTTCAGCACCCTTCCAATCAGATATATAGTCAAACCATGTTTTCACTTTCTCCAAGAGCCTTGTCCACATCCTTGGTGCAGGGAGTGGTTGCACTCAGTGGTAAAATTGGCCTATCATGGTAAGCAATTATTTATTAGAATGCCTTTTTGTAGCACCACTGACAGGAAAAATGGAACAAAATCACAGACTGGGACTAGCATTCATGGTTCAAACCCAATATGCACGATTGTCCTGCTAGTCACTGTATCATCAAATGTATAACCCCTTAAAAATATGCTGGTCATTTAGGATTTCCAGGCTATGTGTTAGCATATATATATATATTTTTTTCCCCCTCAGTTGGTATCATGTACTGGTTAGGAGAAGTTCAAAAGATGACTGTCTGATTTAAAAAAATGAAGACTTTGGATTTTCCACAATATAAGGGAACACAATGGAAATGGTCATAATTCTTGGAAAAGGATGGAATGAAATTTGTTCGCACAGAATGGAGCAGAAACTGGAACATGAAGAAACCAGGAGAAATGGAACAGGAATGAATATATTTAGTTGTGAATCATTGGTTATATATATGACTCAATGGTGAAAATTCTCATCAGTAGCAGTACACCCTTAACTTGAAACAATGGTTGAAGAAGCCTGCTTCACAAAGCCAGAGTAGACAATTATTTCCTGTCAACTTTTTTCAGCACCCTTCCTTTTTTAACATAACAGAAATCATCAGCACTAGCAGTATCTCAGGGATCTCTTTGAACCATGATGGGAAGAATGGGCCCTTGGAGATGCTAATCTCCTCATTCAAGATGAGAGGCCAACATTATTCTGAGCCTGTTCGCATTTTATTTTTTATTCGAACTCGCCACTTCCTCAGTCCAATCAAAGTGGATACTTGAGCTTTATCCTTCTCCCTATTACAGCATCAAGAATGTCCATAACTTCCAAGAATGTGGGGAAACCTATTTCCATGCCATCAATGTCCCTCATTTATGGTCAATAATATGATACTGCTATTGATCCTTATGATATTACTGATTATGTTCTCTCTTATTGATATGAGCCTTAAACAAGGGTATTGCCAGATGTGAATACTGATGACTACTGATGTGTTACTTTTCCTAGCCAAGCCGCCACCAAAGTTGAGTGGTAGGAGGAAGTCTGTCTTTGCTGAAGCTTATGACCCTGAAAAAGACAAGTCCGAATGGCGGAAAGTGAGTACTTCACTTGCTGGTCTCTTTAGGTTGTTCTCATTCTTTTCCTCTTATTCTCAAATTTTAATCTAGGCAGTAGGGTAATTAAATAAGTAATAGGTAATAGGTAAAGAATTCCAGGTATTGTTCTGATCCTGATGATCCCCATATCCTTTAATTGTTTGCAGGTGATCCATCCAAAAACGGATGCCCAGCGGAGACGATTAATGGAGGCATTGAAAAAAATTTTTCTATTTCGTGCTTTGGATAATGTGAGAATTACGTGATTCTATTTGCAAAGAATTGTATAGAGACCATAGGATGAATCTCTGCTCTCATTTTATAGACTCAGCTTCAAGATGTGGTGGATGCCATGTTTGAGAAGCGTGTGAAAAGGGGGGATTATGTCATCAGGCAGGGAGAAGATGGAGATAACTTCTATGTCATCGAAAGGTGATTTTGTTATGCATTTTTAATGCAATCATAAATTTTGGTATGTTTTTCCTCCTGCACCTTCTACATATCATTTGTCTTCCAGTGGGGATTTTGAGATCTTTGTGAAGGGCAACGAAGATGTGAAAGCTCGCAAGGTCGGTGCATATGAGGGAGCAGGCTTCTTTGGGGAGCTAGCACTCATGTATAACATGCCTCGGGCTGCAACGATTCAGGCTTCGAATGATGGCACCCTTTGGTGCATGGATCGTCTCACCTTCCGCAAAATCGTCCTCCAAAGCGCTTTTAAGAAGCGACAAATGTATGATGGGCTTCTCAATGGTGTGCCCATGCTCAGGGAGCTTCAGGTACTTTTCATAACTTACAAGAGATGTAGCAATACAATGATGGGTGCTCAAATCATATTTTATTTTGTTTCTTACATCAGTCATATGAGCGCATGAATCTCTGTGACGCCCTTGTGCCACGCACCTTCAAAAAAGGGGAACTTATCATAAGCCAGGGGGATCGTGCTGATGGCATGTATTTCATTGAAGAGGGCACTGTCTCAATCACTGTTAATACCAAGCATGGGGAAAAAGAAGTGAGTGTCTTATTCTTGCATGGAGTAAGTTTCTCAGGTCAGTGCAGCTAAGATCATTTGCCTATTCCTTTTAGATCAATCAAGTGAAGACTTCAGGATACTTTGGTGAGTGGGCTCTACTGACACAGAAGCCCCGTGCTGCCAATGTCAGGGCTGTCACTGACTGCAAATGTGCATGTAAGTTTGCAGGTTTTGATTTTTTATTTAATAAATGGCTCTCACAGGTTTAGCCAACATGCTGTTTTCTTTCCCTCCCTTTGCTTCAATAAAGCTCCCTTCTTCCTTTCAATATCTGTCTCTGATATCTTCTAATCCCCCCCTATTTTTAATGCAATTCTATCTGCTTCAACTGGTGCAGAACCTTTCATAGCATTGGTTTACTTGAAACCCTGTAGCAAGTATGTCAATCCCTTCCTCTCATGATAAAATTTAAACAAATATTTTCATTCTATGCAGTCTTGGAAACAGAAGCATTTGAAAGATTGCTTGGGCCATGCCGAGAGATCATGCAACGCAATGCAGCTGAATATGACAAGCATTTCAAGGCATCAGGGCTAAGGCCTGAAGATCTTCGATGAGTTTCAAGTCAAGCACAACGTGTTATTCACCCTTTCTCCTCTTTTTTTTTCACTTTTGGAAGAACTGACAGCCAAAGTTGATGCTGTGAGAGGAGAGAAGAGTCCAAAATATCCACTGCATGTGACCTGCATTCATGTTCCCCTTCCTGTTCGGTTGGTGGTCTCATAAAAAAATTGTATGTTTTGTGAAAACAAAGACAGTTTGCCAAATTTTAGACAGTTGATATTGACGTGATATTCATTCTTCTCCCTGTCAAAGCAACTTGGTGATCATGGCTCTTCGAGTCTTGGTGTACACAGTTCTTCAGTGTGTGTTTTGATTATGCATTATTGGTACATTCCTTATTGACGTCAGTACAATACAAATGTTTAACAAATGACCTTCATAAATGTTGATGGAAATTGTATTTCTGGTGCTGACTATTCTGTTCAGTTTGTTCACCTTGCTTCTATTCAGTTGTGTGTGGGCATACAAAAAAAAAAGAAATGCTATGAACTGAGGAGTAGTGAAAATAGACATTCATCATGCCTTGTAAACATTCTAAATTTTTACTCTATTTGACCAATGGTTTTAATCTTTGAGTACAAAACATGGTAACACCTCAGTGATGGACCAACTAGTCAAAATATAGTGAGAAAGATAAATGAATTTACTTCTGGCAGAAAATTCTCAGATGTATGGTGTTGATAGAACACTACTTTTGGAATAAATGAGGTGAATAGAAACAGAGGAGATCCTCCTCTTGCATCCAGGCAATTCTCTGATCTTCCTGAGCATTTCCGTTCAATGTAGTACTGGTGCCATGAACCCTGGACTATTAATTAATCTGTGTACCTTGTACAATACAGCCAAAAGGTATATGTGATTGAGAGATATTTTCCTTGATCAGGTTCCGTCTCATTTGTCCTTGGGTGCACACGGTGTGTTCATTGTGTCTTCACTTATCACCCTACACTGTCATGTCCTACACTGTTATGTGTGGCGCCAGAGGGGCTTCCATCGTGAAAACCCCCAGCACTTAACTTATTTCTGCCACCCAAATGCATTCCAATCAATGTTTTTGCATTTTTCCATGGCAGTCTCCCTTCTGCTGGTCTCTGAGAAAATTCTCCTTGAGTTCTTTTTCATAAGTTCATTTTCCTTTCAAGAAGATTTCTGTACCCCATTGAGGGATCAGAATTCCAATATCAATGGGATTTGGACTGCCAACCCGTGATTGTGATGACCGCCACTTATGATTCATGTGATTCATTCCTACCATCCAAAATAAAGGTTACAAAACCTGAAAACTTTCCCCAATAGTTCAGTGCTTATTATCTTGCCAGTGATGCTTAAATGATGACCACTTAGAAATATAAAGGGACAGTTGCAATTTTTGCAACTAAGCAACATCATGCTGACATCCCCATGCAAGGTTCTCTGTTTTGATTGTCAAAGAAAAGTATAGGGAACATTTTAGTTACCTATTGACAGCCATTCACAGTCATTTACAGTTCCTGGAGTTGTTTAAGGCAGAATACCTCATCTGACTTGGCTGATTTGGGACTTTATGAACTTGGCTGCGACAGAGACATAAAACTACTGAGTTTTCTTTGAAACTGAAAAATAAAAAAAATTTTGCTACTGAAAACTTTACAATTAAGCTCAGGATGTACATCCTAAACCTAATTGTAAAGTTTTCTATGCTTTTGTGTCCTCTGATGAGGAAATTGAGGTAATGTGAAAGAAGTCAATGCAGATTTTCTATTTCAGTTTTCTTCTATTCACTACCCTTTGAGATTCTGATACAAAAGAAATTGAGCTGAGTGGAATCATTACTTACCTTGCATTAAGTGAAGTGGCTGTCAAATTCATCTGTAATATCCTAAGCTAGCCAGATGGGTCAAATTCATCCTTTTTTCTAAGCTAAGCTAAGCATTGTAAACTATAGCTATTTGTATAGTTCTCCCTTATGACCAATGGCCAAGGAGAGGGAGGGGGGAGGCCACCTCCCTGATGCCCCTGGGACAGAGTTAGGGACCCCTTGGTGGTAATATTTTTTTCCCTTGGTATTGCTTGGGTGGGATTTGGTGTCCTCACTCAGCTGCCCTCTCCCACCCTGGCTCTTCAACCAAAATGCTCCACTGCTTATGGCAGTTATACAAATTCATTGCTATGAAATGTTGAATATGTGCCTCTTTTGTCAATTTTTGTAGAATGCCTCAGATAGACACAGGTAGACTTCCCTTAGAGGATGCCTTGGATGACCCTCCTCAGGTATGATTATTGGAAGACCATTCCATTTTCTGTCAAGTATCATGGATATGGTAATTTGTCTGTGTTATATTTTTTTTGTTGCAAAAGTTGCGTTCTCTGTTGGGAATATTTGAGAGAGATGCAGAGGAACTGAAAACATACATTGATGGGCTCCTTGGTTACTTTGAGAGAGTTCACAGGGCCCAGGAAGAACTCGCTGCTGCTTCTCAATGTCTCTCTCAGCATCTCCGCCTTTACCACTCAGAGGTGAACCAAATTAATGTTTACGTGAGAGAAGTTGCTTTGGTGAATGGAAGTTTATGATTCTATTACATGTTCCAGAGGTTTCCACTGGAGTCTGATGATGACATTTTGGTATCCACCATGAAGCAACTGTCAAAGAGCATGTCCGAAGTGAGCTGCCAAATGATTTGCAATACCCTTTACAAGTTTCATCAGTGTTGCTTGTCATCTTCCAATGTGCCATGGCATTTGCTCTATGTCTGTTCCAGATCAGTGCATGGTATGAGATGCTGAGTGACCATATGGCTGAAACTGTTCTCAAGCCTGTGAACAATTTCATCAATATCAATCTTTTGGAACTGTCCCAGTTGGCAAAGAAGTACACCGTGAGTCTTTTCTTCATATTGACAGATGAGGATGTCAATGATAGGGTCCAGTTCTTTCAGTTCAAAAGCAGCACTTTCTGGCATTCCTGACAGACTGAGAGTGGTGAGTTGGACAAATCTTATGCACGCTATAGCAAGATTTCCAAGAAGAGAGAAGTTCAAGGAATTGAGGTGAAAGCAGGAGATGAGGATGTTTATGCTCATCGGAAGATATTTCACAGGGTACATTCTCATATTTCTTGTCAGTTGCTTTCTGCAGTGAAAACTCAAATTCGTTGAATTACCCAATTCTTCACTTTTTTTCTCCAGGCCTCCCTGCAATATTTCATGAAGCTAAATTTCCTTCAGTACCAAAGGAAGATAATGCTGTTGGAACCAGTTCTGGGACTCTTACAGGCACTCAGATCATTTTGTCGACTGGGCAATGAAGGCTTGAATTCTGAATCGTTTACCAACTTCCTTTCTGACATGAAGGCTAGCATACAAGGGTGAGGATTCAATCTTAAAAAAATGACAGCACTCAAGGTAATGGAAATCCTAGCATGTCTGATACATGGGATTCGATTTTGTCTTAAGTGTTGAGAACGATCTGAGTGTGGAGGTGCAGGAGTCGCAGAACCTTGTAGACAATCTCGTCATTCAATGTGAGCCACTCTATGATGTGGATCCCATACTTCCCAATAGGGACAAGGAACTGCACATCTCCAAATCCAGTTACCTCTTCTACCGAATGTATGGTCTGAATCTCAGTTTGCTGGAACCTTTGGGATTCGTGGGTTTCTGGGAGGAGTGCCATCTGTTCGTAGAAAGACGCTGGGAGTGATGGTGAACTGGGAGCGAGCATATTTCTTCACGCAAGGGTCAAATTTGATGTGCATTCCAAAGGGAGAAGTTGTGGGACATGTCATGGTGGAATTGGATCCTTTCACATCCGTTATGCCCACCGACATGGATGATCACAGATTTGTCTTTCAGATAAATACCTTCTCAAAGTGAGACTCTTTCCTCGTCTCCTTATCCGAGTGGGTCAAACAGGAAAATGAGTGAAATTAAAACCTGGATGTATTAGGGTAGTGACTCTGCAAGCAATGGGAGAGCAAGAGAGACAAGAATGGCTACTCTGTCTTCGTCAATCTATTCCCACAGATTCCACTGAAACTCCTAGTCAAGTTCAAGGAATCAAACAGCCTTCCTTCCTGGCAGAAGTTGGACATTTTCTTGTGAGTCGCTTATGAATTCCTCTCCGGATCTAGGGGATCCTACCTACTCCTGATTCGCGTCAACTCTCGATCATCCGAAAGTCACAAATCTAGTGCTTCTGTCGATTCGAACAGGAGGAATGGCTCCGGCAGAAATCCCAGAAAACCTATTTTGAAACATTTCATTTAATCTGAAACCTGTAGCTCCCTTTCACATGAGGAGTTCTTTCCTCTCTTTGGCCATTTCCCACTGTTAATCCACAATTTTTTTTGCTGAAGAGACTGAATATGATTCATAAAACATGTTCCCGGTTCCTTTCTTGCATTTCCACCCCATCAGGAATTAGAGAAATATGGAGGGACATGGAAAAAAAAAACCATCTCTTTCGATCCCCATTTTCCTTGAATCAGATAATGGGGATTTCTTTCCTCATTGAAGCTTTCATAGCAGTGATTTTTCCTCTCCCCCATTCTCATCCATCCTTGTCAAGTAGAGTCGCATTTATGCACAAGTGCTGAAATCTCTAGTTAAAGGTCCCTTAATAAATTTGTGGAATCGTAGGAAGAAAAACTGCACTTCAGCTTAAAGACCCTTTAAATCTCGCTTAAATGAGCTTCCAGCATTCGGGCCTTAGCATACTCGGAAGTGATCTAGATCTGGAAGAGCAGTTCTTTCTGCAAGGATCAAATGAAACAATCCTGGATTTCTCCTATGTGACAGGTTGAAAGAACCGAGTCACTGACTTCCATTCGCTTGGTTAAAAAAAAGTAACAAATAAAAGCAGTACTCTGGGAATAGCAGTTTTCTCCGCTAGGAAAAATGTGTTGTCTCAGGGTCAGGTTTTCGTACGAGCTTTTAATCTGGACAAAATCGCCGATTCTCTAAGTCCAGATTAAGGAGAGTTGACTGTCCCACACTTGTATGCTCTATGTTATTGGTCAATGCTATGATCACACGTCTGAATGACAGGTTGACAAGCTGTCTCATGCAACCAGTGCTGGTGCAAAACCTGATAAGGATAATGAGAAAAGGTAAATGATTTTTTAAATAATAAAAATAATCAATGTGAAGAAACATAACAGGTGCAAATGGTTTATGCTGCATCCATTTTTGTATTTTCATTAGCATAAAGCAAGAGTCCGCAAAGAGACCCAAGGAAATATCACTTGCTGATACACCGATCATGTTTGATTTGATGACCCCTGATGAAGGTGGTGAGAGGCAGTTGACTAGGTCTGGGCAGGAAGGACCTCCCAGGTTTGTCAAACTCTTGTCATTTTTGAGTAGCAGTAGTTCATTCTTTTTCACCCTATCATCTACAGTAAAGTATTTTTCTATTTTTTCCTTCCCTTTCAGTGATGAAATGTGAGTTGTGACTTGAAGTCATTGTTGCCCTGGACTTGAAATTAAGCTAACTGGCAACTTTCAGTGATTTTGGGACTTGGCTTTTCAGGAGAGTGAATCCCTTTTTGGGGCATGGAAACTCATTGACTTTTGAGGCCTTACAAGAGTCTGCATCATATTATGAGACCTATACTGTTCGCTTTCTTGGATGCATGCAGGTCCATGCAGACCGAGGTATGAAAGTACTTCATCTCAATCTACTTCTTCAAGTACAGCTGCTGCCATTGTAGAGATATCACAATTCTTTCAACAGGTCACCAATTGGTGTCAGAAGTGATTCGACAGATCTTGGCAGCCAGAGCCATTCATAATGTTTTCAAGATGATCGAGGTCCTCCTTTTGATCACCCATGACCGTGTTAAACTTGTTGAGCCATCAACACACCGCATAAAAGTTTTATTCGATCTTGTTGATGTCTCATACTGGGCAGTGCACATAGAAAATCACAGGTACTCTTCACTGGCATGAGCCATTACTTAGTGGTACCATTCTCTTCAGTTCAGCAATGATGGATTGAGTGCTAAATTGTCTGTGCAGGCTCTTTGGTTTCATCACTCGGATCAGACCAGAGATGTCCTCTTTTCAAACGGAATATGCTTGCTATGTGTTTGAGGCAGACTCCTCAGCGGAAGACATTATTGGGGCCCTTGGGGCTGCAGCAAAAGTTGCCATGGAGAGGTTTATCAATACCAAGGAAACAGAAGCTGTTGTGAGTCCTGAGGTTCTTTTCCTGGTGTTCCACCCCCTTTTGACATTTTCTCATGAACTGGCTATTTGCCCATCAGTGAATGAGGA